AACACATCTTTTCTGGAGCTTCACACTCCCCTTTGTGCTGCTTTTCCGAGTCCAACTTTCTCTGGGGTATATTTGTACTTAGTACAGGCTTTGTATATGCTTTTTTTTCAGCCTCAGGCCCCTTTTTGAGGAAAAGCATATATTCCTTTCCTTCAGCCAGAGACATTGTTGGAAGGAGCAGAATTTTGGTTCTTGCTTATGACTGGCAAGTACAGGCCATGACCTTGGAGCGTAGCTGGGTGCTCCATGTGTTACTGACCATGTTACAACATGCTGCGGTTGGAGTCTTGCAGCTGCTCACTCTCCCCTTGCTTGCTTTGTATGAAACACTCTTTTGTATGTGTTCTATAACCATGTATTTCTAGACTTCTGCGCAGACATCTGGAAATGCAACTGTCCAGCCAGACTGCTCTTCTGGGGTAAGAGTATATTTCATTGTTTAATGCAATTGATTACATGGAATTTTTTCCCTCTGCAATCAAACCTCTGCTTCCCCTGTCCACCCCAGTTCACAGTACAGCTGGGCTGGAAGCTACTGTTTTGATCCAGGGCTTCAGGTTTATTCCTCATATTGGCTTTTCTTGCTGTTTTATGGTAGCCACTCACTCGGCTACTAACTCTGTTGTAAAGGACCACACTGCATGCATTTGACTGGGCTATCTTTCTTTGTAAGTTAGTATGAACCATGGGTGGTTGGAGTAGCCACAGGAATACCCAGCATTCTGGCCTTGGTCCTTGCTGTCATCTTGGCAGTGGTCTGTATTCTCCGGTGGAAGAACTACAGCTGGAATCAGGTGACTACCTTCCATCTCCTGCGTGTCTTGCTGCTACTAATCCTAGCTCTCCATATCAGAAACCTGATTCAACACCCTTTTCAGCTCTTGGGAAGTTCAGGACCGCATCTCTTGACTTTCCATTTTTGTTTCTGCTCTGTCTCTCAAAGGCTGGACCTCAGCCTAGAATTTGAAGGGTTCATAAGGATAAAAGAGAAATTCATGTTCAAATACTGAAAGGGCACTGCCAAGTGGTCTGTTTAAATAGCAGGAAATTAAAAATCCACAAGCTATCACCATTGTTCTTCAGTGGATTTCTCTCTCATTTCCTACAGGAAATCATCCTCTCACTACAAATGGTGTTATTTGGCTCCAGAAACATTGCCAAGGTGTTTCGTAATATGTTTTGTTTGATCACTTGCTTCCTCTGTTTGAGCCCATGGGGTGGGTCTTCATGCTCTGCCTACATCCCCAGTGCTGGGGTTTCCAGAGTTAGGAGTTTCTGTAGCATCATGTTTTCTCCTCTGAGGTGAAAAAATCATCTGCACCACCAAAGAGACAGTCAACCTGCCCACAGAGGAAGAATACTGTGAAACATTCTGGCAGCCAGACATTGACAGTTCCACTTAAAAGGTCCCTTTTCTTTCCCTACCAGTTTACAGATGTTTTTGACCAGCTTTTTTGCATTGTTGGATCTTTGTTTTCTTACTTTAGCAAGTAAGGTAACAATACTGAGGGAGACGATTTCCCTGTAGTTGTTGCTGGTCAACATCTTTCCCTTTTGTTCTTTTTCTTTTTTCTCTCCTCTCTTCTCCTCTTCTCTCAAGTTTAAATGTGAAAGCAAAGGTTTTCCCCTATGTTAAAAGACCAGATAGATTTTGGATGTTCTAGTAAGGGCAACAGTCAGGCATTGATGTTTCCCCTTTGCAAGGTCATTCTCATGGGCAGGTGTCAAGTGGACCCTAAGTGGACCCCCAAGTGTTCCAAATGAAAGAGTGTTTTGGCATCCAGCTTAAAATATGTTGGATATGCATTCTGGAGCTGTTTACTAACAGAACGTTTTCTCACTGCCCTGTGCTTCTCATGCAGTTGTTTGTGACTTGTTGATAGATGTTGTTTGTCACTGTTTTGTTCATTGCTTCAGATGAATCAACATCCCAACCGGCAGGAAGGACATGAATATGAATCATCCCCTCCCAGACCTCCAGACGTAAGCCATCTATTAATTTGTCAACATAGCACACATGCTGCTGAGTTACTGATCACAGGACTGGCTTTAAGGGTAGCCCTAGACTAATAGAAAGCTCATCATAACCTCCTCCCCAGGCTTGCCTGTGTCTCCTACATGACTGCTGTTTCTGGTTGCATGTCTGTCCATTTGATGCAATCCCAGATGAGAGGTCAGCAATGGTTTGCCATTGTTTTAGAATACACAGGCATTAGCACTGCAGCCTTCATGGGCAAAAAAACAGAGGGAGAAGGAGGGATAGACCTGACATGTGGGCAGATAGGATATTTCCTTCAAAATAATGCTAAACATTTTCAAAGGGAGGTGGGAATTCTTGCATACCATATTCTCTGCAGTACTCACTTGGTTTTTGAGTACCTTGTGACAACCAATCAAAGAAATTATATTTTGCTTCTAGGACTTTTATATGACCATGATGCAGGGGACAACAAGTATCTATGTAAATGAAGATCAAGACAAACACCTCAAACTGAACATCCAGACACAACCAAGGCCCATGAGAACAAAGGAGCCCAGAAGAGAGTCGCCTGTGGTGGAATATTTTTATGAAAACCATGCAGTCTCTAACTGAAAGAAAAGCACCAAATTGTATCTGGGGCCAGAAATAACAACCAGAAATAACAACAAGACACAACCCTTTTCCTGGACACCAGGGGTCACACAGTTGCAGTTTATGAACAAGAGAGTTTTCTCTTTATGCCTACATGAAATTCTATAGAGACCAAGACTAAAAGTAATTGGATGGAGAAAGAACTTGTTTGCAATCATGCCTCTGAGATGTAGAAGCAAAATCAGATTCCATTGGAGTACCCCAAGTTCTCTGAAAGAGATGGTTTTGCTGTTCTCCTACATTAATTCATTTTAATAAAGAACATCTAAATCCCTGCAGTGATACTGATGGTAGAAAAGAGCAGCCAGAGAGTTGGTTGCAGTCCCAGGTAACTGAGTTCCTTTGCCTCAACCTTCAAAAAACAGGAATGCATTCTTTTCATTTGGCAGAAAGCCCTCAGGCTGCAGGACCCCCTTCCCCTCCAGCACCATGAGCCTTCCTGACTGGTGGTCTGTTGCAACTGCTCAGATCCTTGCAGGCAGCAGCAGTGAGCGCAGTGGATGAACAAGGAAGAACCCTTGCCTGGGAGGAACAGCCCCTCCCACAGGGTGCTGGCCACAGGCACTGCAGACCTACTCTGCAGTGTAGCAGCAGATGTGGGCACTGCCCCAACCCAAATTAAATAACAGCTCAAATGCTCATAATTAGATTTTTTTTTATTGGCTTGTTAATGTACACACATGCAGCGCTATCCATCTGCAAAGCATGGTCTTGGTGGGACATGGGCTGCAGGAGCAGCCATGGGATCTGTGTTTGTGAGAAAAGCAGCTGATTGATGCAGCCACTGTGCTCAATGATCCCATGACAGAGTGTCAGTGCAAGGGGCTGCAATGTCACCCAGAGCCTCCTGTGATGGGGTGGAGTTCTGGGAGGCTTCAAAGCTGTCTACTCTGTGCATATATCTATGTTTGGACTGCCTTCCTGGAACCTAGGAAAGGTGGGCCAATGCTCCTGCTGTTGGTTTCAGTAAAGGAGATGTAAAGGAATAGCCAGGCTGAGGATGCTGTAGAGAGTGGTTTAGTGCTTTTCAGCGGGGGAGAGCACAGAGCTGGTAGGCAGGAGGTACGTTGCCTGTCCCACTCAGTGTTGGGGTTATGCTGAGCTCCTGGGGGTCGACAACAGACTTCAAGGTAAAGTTCTGCAAGATGGTGGCTATGAGTAAGAATATCTCCATTCGTGCCAAACTCTCTCCA